TAAAACTTGTGGTAAATCATTATTATTTGGATTACATATATCAATTATCCTTATATATATGAATATATTTTAAGTAACAGGCCAGGGCGAGGCCTACCTCCATCCCCAAGGCTGGAGAATTTTCTTGATCCTAACCTTGTCCCGATCCCTGATAGTTTCGGGGAATTCCTGCACCGTTTGCGCAGGTCCCCTACCAAATGGGCTAAACGTTCGTATCTAATATTAATGTAAAAAACATAAATTAGATAAAATATATGTGGTACCCAGACAACTTTAACCTTCTAATTTAAGACAATTGACTTTTAAGGTACTAATCTCTCAATAGTATAACATAATGATTTTAAGATAGTTTATTGGGAAAAAAAAAATTATTGAAATTAGGAAAGTGGAAGTTAGAAATTTTTATTTGATGGGGTTCAATTACTAATCCATCTTTTATGAAATTAACAAATTTGTAGTAGTCGCTGATTTTTTTTAATCGGAAATTATATTAAATAGCCTCTTGTTGGGTATCAATTGAAAAATAATTTGTTCTTAAAAGTGTCTCAAAAAATAACCCTCCTATAGTCCTATATATTCTTAAAAAAAAAAATTGCATTTCATAAAAAACCCAAAAAGTCCTAAAACAAAATAAACTCTCTCATATTCTTATCTAATCCTTCTCATTCCCTTAATCCCTCCGTAACTCTCGTCTCATCTTTTTCTTCATGCACCCATGATCCAGTCAAAGAGGTTGGTTTGAAGGAAAGAGAAAAGAGAACATCATGGAGTGGACTTTCGTCAGGGAAGTTTCATTACATTGATGAAAGTCAGGGTCATGTAAAATGTGTATTTAAGGTTCATTTTGTGGTTGGATTATGTTTGAAGCAGTTTAGGTTTGAATAATGCTAAAAAAGTGTAGAAAATGGGAGGAGTCGGTGAAGGTTAAGGGTTGGATGCATGAGCTGGAGAACTTCATCGTAAATAATTCACGAAAACTATGGCAACAATGCCACGCATGAAGTATTTGTTTAATTCAGCAAGTGAAATGACCATTTTACAAATATAGTTATCACTTTTATATTCAAATATAAAATATGACAATCACTAAACATTGCTCAATTTTTTCTCTAAGTCAATTGTCTTATTTATTTAATATGTAAAAGTATTGATTATGTGTATAAATTTTAATAAATATGTCACACGTTAGGGGGTGATTGATTAAAAATGGTATAAAAAATATATTAAAAAAAATCACGAAGTATTTGATAAAGCTCCTTAATTTGACCTTAGTTAATTCCATGTCAAGTAAATGATAACACCTATATTTACGTTAAAGATTTTTTTTTTTTTTTTAATATAATGGTCAATGATTGACTGAGTCAAATATTGTAACATGTAAACATTACCTGAAGTTTCGTCTCAGGTTACATTCAATCACACACATTATTTTAAAGTTATTTTAAAGTGATTGAAAAAAAAAAATATATATATATATATATATATATATTCCCTATGCTGCATGCCCCCACACTGCCTTATACTGAACTTCACATACCAAGTCAAAACGCAAATTATGAATGTCTTTTATGTCTTCCAATAGACATATAGAGTAGCATGTGAAATTGTGATTAAATACATTGGATGTCTGTTTCTCTGTATGTTTCTTCCAAGTTCCACCCTTTCCTCGGAAAAGAAACGATGACTATTATCCCACACCTCCCTTAAGTTTTCAATTTAAGTCACTCACACCCTAAAGATATTAAAAGTTATCTGCCAAACACGCGTAACAGTCATTCTGCTTGTAATCATTTGATCAATTCATGGAAATTCATTCAATTTCTCTCAAACTTAGATTCTGTGAATTTTCTTTGCTGTATTAGCTAGGGGTGTTCAGTTCCGGATACCCTGTACTTTTTAAAGGAACCGAAACCAAAATCAGAACCGATGGTTTCTTGAAATTTGGAACCAAAACTGGAATTGACAGTTTCGATTTCTAGGTAACCAGAACCAGAACCTGTAACAATGATTCCGGTTCTGGTTCCGGTTCCAGTTCAGGTTTCAGTTCCTAACAGTAACAGTTCCAAAAATTTGGAATCGAAACCTACCCATTGATGACTGGTTCTGGATAAGAACTGGAACCAAATCTAAAGTATCTATCGATTCTAATTCTAACCAGTTCTTTTAAACACCCCTAATATTAGTTTTCATTTCTTCTCTTAGATCTAAGGTCTTCGAATAGAAATGGGGGCACACACGTACGGTAAGTAAAGCATAAAGTTAAGAACTCTTGGCTTCTAGTAGAGAGGAAGTTATCTTGAAAATACAGAAGGAAAGGAGTTATATCTTGAGCAGCAAAAAGACTACAACTGGCATCCAATTAACCCAATAAGAGAACAACACCTAGCCACAGCAATAGATGAGCACACTGCAATGCAAAAGCAAATCTGTCACATGAGCGGTACGAGGACACCTCACCTAAAATATTAGAGAGTCCTTGATGTTCCTTGTAGGAAGGTTGGTGGAAATTTACCTCATCTCTTTTTAGACCGTGTTTAGTTTGTTATTCCTTTCCATATTCCCAATCCTATTTTTCAAATAATTTTTGAAACATTATTTCAGTAATATTATTTAATTTTTTTAATTACTTTTAAACCCCAAAAGTTATTAATTTCATAAAATACTCCCTAAAAAAAGTTTAAAAAATAACAAAAACACCCCTACAACCTATACTTGTAAAATTCCGATAACTACCATCGACGGTAGCCAAAATCTACCATAACAGTGAATTACCGATTAGAGCTGGTCGATAATTCACCGATCTGACCTTTTTCAGCTAAATCCACTGATTGGCTGATGTTATATTATTAAACGCAGGCTGCATCAGTTTGGAATATTATTAATTAGCTTACAAATGGCTAACAGAAGCAGCACCATTGATTAAATTTGACGAATCAAATTTTGACAAGTCAGAGACGTTGGAGTTTGGGGACGACTGTTCTGTCTTGTGTTTATTTGTCAACGAACACATATGAATATACTACCCAATTTTATTTTACTATCTTACCTTAAAAAGTGAAAAATATATTTGTTTTAATACTAATTATTTAATTCAAAATCCAATCTTATTATATCCAACTTAAAATATTTAATAATTATTTTTCTGAATAAAAGTTTATAAATTAATTAAAAAAAATCCCCCATCCATTCATGCAACAGTCATCGGCCAACAATCACCATCAACACCAGAATTACTCACGATCGGTCAGATTTGGTCGATTTGTCTGTTTCTAGCCATATTCATCATATATCTATTCGAAAATAATAAGATATACAACCAAAGATCTGGATTTGGCCAAAAACGGCTTGATTGGTGCATGACAAGCCAAATCCAATCAGTCATACGTCATTCCGACAACATTTAGCCACCGTCCGATAGTAGTGGCCAGCTACCAACAATCAGTTAGGTGGGTAGGAGTGTTTTTTTAACTTATAAACTTTTATTGTATAGGGTATTTAGCTAAAATGTAAGGTAAAAAATAATCTAAATATTTTTAAAAAAATGTACCAAACACATTCTTAGAATCTTATCCTATTTAATTAAATCATATCTTATTCAATTAAAAATAAAATATTATTAAAAAAAAAAAGTGTACTAAATGGGCCCAATCATGATTTAGAGTATGATTAGAGTTCAAGTGAAAAATAACGTTACACTTAATTGATTGGTTATGATTGTAAGTACCAAAATATAGTTTTATGTTATCTTAATGATTATTCAATAATGTTAGTCATTAAATAAAAGATTTAATATAAAGAAATTGTATTTAGATAATTAAAACACAAAATTGAGAAAGACTAGAAACTCACATGTTTTGATTAAGTAACAACTTATTTAGGATTCGTCAATGGGTTTGAGCCACAATAATAAGAAAGCGTCATCAATTACTAAATTTGAGAAGAAAAAAAGCTGCAGGTACTAGTAAAGTATATAGGCTTCGTATGTGTACTATTTTAGAGATGATAAAATAGACTATTTCCACTAAAAATTAATTTAATGGCATGTGAGTTTTTCTTTATTTTAAAATGGTTCAATGTCAGACTCTTCTGAACAAATTTTCTACCTCCGTCCCTCTTGATAAATAATAACCCCAAACCTCTTAACCTCTTCAAAATCTTATTAAGTTGTTTTTTATTCAAGCGTCCCCTTGTTGTCCTTATCATGGCCAGAAATTTTCTTATGTTCTTCTCTGTTTTTCTCTTTCTTTCCATTCCAGTATCATCCCAACTCAATGATAATAAACTCTATTTTCCAGGATTCAAAGATTTGAGCGCAAACCTAACCTTAAGTGGAGCTGCAAAAATTGAGAAAAATGGCATTCTTGGCTTAACAAACAATACCATTCTTGGCTTAACAACCGATACCGGTAAACAATTACAAGGTCAAGCCTTCTATAGCTTGCCGATCCAGTTCAAGAACTCGACAAATGGAGAAGTCTTTTCTTTCTCTTCCTCATTTGCTCTAGGTATCGTCCCTTCCTATCGAGAATTTCGGGGCCATGGCATGGCTTTCACCATCTCACCATCTAAAGAGCTCAGAGGTTTTCAAGCTCAGTACCTAGGCCTCTTAATGAACCAACATGGGAAGCTTATCAAATCATTTATTTGCGGTTGAGTTTGATACGAATCAAATACCAGTTTCTAGACATCAACGACAACCATGTTGGCATCGACATCAACAGCTTGGCGTCGAATATCTCTTCCGCTGCAGCCTACATCGATGACAGTTCAACTAAACAAAACTTGAGTCCATTAGTGGAAAACCAATCCTGGCTTGGATCGATTACGATGCATCTGAAAATTTGTTAAATGTCACCATCTCTCCACATTCCAAACCAAGATTGCCCCTCTTGTCTTTTAACGTCAATCTTTCACCAATCTTCATGAGTTCATGTATATTGGCTTCTCTTCTTCAACAAGTTCTATTGGTGCTTCTCAATCTCATTATATTTTAGGCTGGAGTTTTAAAATCAATGGAGAGCTACAGCTCTTGATCTCTCTTCTCTTCCGTCAATTCCGACAACGAAAAGCAGACAGGTTTGACGATTTGCCTTTGAATATTGAATAGTAATATGTTATTCTACGTCATCAAGAAAATCAGTAATGCGAAATGTGAAGTAGAACGCCTTTATTCGTGTTTACCTTCGCTTTGGGCCCACCATCACAATAAAATTTACATTACAGTTCACTTGTTTTCATTTTAGTTAGTGCATACTTGTGTTGGACTAAAATCAGCTCGAAGCTAGGTTTATTTAGGAGTTGCTAGGAATAAAGATTAACACAATTTAGACCCTCTTTAGGATATTATTCAATTTCATACATAATTTCGTACTATGATCCTCTTGAGATTATTAAACCTCCTTAAAATTCTTATAAACTAATTATGAAGTATAAAAAAAAACCCTTTGATAAGATATTTAGAACCTTCTAAAATAGTAAATTGATGTACGCAAATTAATTGAGTTTGATGAGAACCCAATTAAAACATATTATTATTTTCATTATGTATCTAATTACAGACAAACTTAATTGCAAAATTAAGAAGGTTAAAGAACGATCAAGACAATATTTGTATGAGTAAATGATTTTACTATTGGATGCTGCAGTTCCTGAGATATTGAATTGGACGGGGATTTCACTTGTTATAGTGGTTGGATTAATCGTGTACTCGTCTTGGGTATAATTTTCTTATTAGATGGAGAAGATTTCGACTAGAAGGTAATATACAACAAATTAACCATATATATATATATATATGGAATGAAGAGCAATATTATGAGTTTCTATTTTATTGAATACCAAGCTGATCAAACTTTTTTGTCAATTTCAAACAGCAAAGTTTCTGTTTGACTTAATGAGTGAAGCAAAGGAGCTTGAGATAGAGGAAAGAAAGGCGTCAATTTGAAAGTTATAGAGCGTCGTCCATTATGCAAGCTACCGATAACTTCTCATCTAAACTAAACTTGAGGGTGGTTTTGGACCTGTTTACAAGGTATATTTGCTTTCACAAAAGGCTTATGTCTAACATATCAAGCAATGACTTTTATTATTGTTCAGGGTTTGTTGCCTGACGGGCAAGAGGTAGCAAAAGAGGTTATCAGGAAAATCCAAACAAGGCCTAGTGGAGTTCAAGAATGACTTATAATTGTAGCTAAATCAGCCACACCAATCTGGTGCGGCTCTTGGGTTTCTGCATTCAGGGGAAGAGAAAATATTGGTCTATGAATACATGCCAAATAAAGCTTGGACACATATATTTTTGGTATATATGCTTATTTCTTTAACCATCTATGCTTGGTTTCTTCACATTATTGAAACTTCTGCTTGATTTATGTTACACGTTCCTCAAACCTTTCTTTTTTCTTTATAACAGATGAATCTAAAAGGAAGTTGATTGATTGGAACAATATTTTAACATCATTGAAGAAATAGCTCAAGGACTACTTTATCTACATAAGTATTCAAGACTGAGAATATTCATAGAGACTTGAAAGCCAGCAATTATTACTTGACACAAAATATGAATCCCAAAATATCTGATTTTGGTATGGCTGAAGTGTTTACCACAACTCACTCTGAAGCAAATACAAATAGAGTTGGGGCACACGGTGAGTAAATTATAAATTTAAGAATCTCTTTTTTAATTTGTATGAAAATTAAAGTTTACTGCTCCAATGAACCTGATTATTCATTTTTTTTCTACATAATAACTAGTTCTACTTTACAAATGAAATCCGTGGTTATATGGCTCCTGAATATGCTATAGGTGGCATCTTCTCTGAGAAATCTGATGTATTCAGTTTCGGAGTTTTATTTTGGAGATCATAAGTGGTAGAAGGTCCAACAACAACATCTTTTATGATGGTCAACCTCTCAACCTCGTTGCATATGTAAGTTCATAATGTAGCACTGCCGCTATTTTATTTGTTAAAATTACTAACCTCTGCTTATCTCAATGTTAATATTTAATGCTTTTGACATAGGCATGGCAGATGTGGAAGGAAGGTGTAGCCATAGAACTAATGAATCCAACACTACATGATTCATTTTGTGAAGACCAAGTTTTGAGATGTATTAACTTGGCCTTGCTTGTGTTGAACAATCAAATGGACAGACCTATCATGTCGTTGTATTTCTATGTTAACAAGTGAAGGAGTAAAATTACCAGCGCCAAAACAGCCTGCATTTTCCATTGAAAGAAAGATTGTTGTGGACAATGCGAGGGAATAAGCAGGACAGAGAATACAATAAATAACTTAACTATATCTGTAATGGATCCACGATGAAGACTTTTTTCTTCGTACTCTACTAAGTAAGTGAATTGTAGTAATAAAAGCTCTATTTTATTCTTCCTTTCTTGCCATTGTTTCAGTGTATTTCTAGTTAAGTCGTGCATTTACTGGATTTATGAAGCTTTCCGACTCATAATAAAAGATTTGATGGTGGATCTCATTTTTACGTAGTTCTGAATTTATGGAATTCCCCGTGATATATACTCACATATGCAATATTTGTTTCGAGTAATGTTGCATACAAATTAAGTAAGATTTTGGATTTGAATCCAAATATTAATGTATAATTACTTCCATCTGCTCAAGAGTAATGTAGTATTTCACGTACCCTGTCACTCTTTACACTCAGAAAAGCTCAACCTAGACCTAAAAATTATTTCTTTCACTGGTGAATCAAAGTTAAAACAGAGGATGAGAGGAGGGCTACTCTACTTTCAGTAAGCTTGATGTTCAATGTAAGAGTATTATCTCGTTCAGTGTTGTCATGTACGACTTCGCTTCCTAAACTTGTGTCAAGTAAAATCCGTTAATGGGTAAAAGATGAAAGAAAGAAATTGAAAGACAGATGAGAGTCTAAGATAGACAGATGTATCACAAATCAAACAACTCTTTTGAATTTTGAATATAAGACCAGATAATATGTAGCAGTATAACCAACCGCTACAGATGATATCAAATCATTATTCTTCTAACTTTGTTTTAGAATGCATAAAAATAAAATCCGGATCAAATACCGAGAAGAAACAATACCTCATATTGATTGAGAATAAGCAAATATTGATTTAGAATTTCTTGTACTTTTTGCCTTTCAAGTTCCGAGGTGCTTGACTTAGAACTGATGCTTTTTCCGCTCATCGACAGTATAATTACTTTCCTCTACAAATAAGAACAAATTTATCAAAAAAATTCTAAAACTTAGAATATGATCAAAGTTTGTATAAGAATAATTCGAAAATAGAAAGTCAATTCATTTTTTCTTTTCCGAAGAAATTAATATTCTTCATTTGTTCCTTTTAAATAAAACAAAATGAGTAATACAATCATCCTAGCTTATAAAATTCGCAAACCAGACACAGGATTAAACGACAATTCACCCAGTGCAACAACCGAGCAGGCTTGTGAACATGAAGCAAGCAAATCTTCTTCCCTAAAAAGCTCTGATCGTTTTACTCTTCTCAACATTCTTCCCCACTGCAACAAATATAGTCTTCACATCCTATGCGACTCCCTCTCGCTCAATCACGTCCGAACTCTTCATCAAAAATGTAACTCAAGACTCCCAACTCAAAAGAAATAAATTTTACTCCATATTTGTTCATACTTGGTATAATTATTCACACGGAAAAACTGCAATGGAAAATATCTTAAATTACAAAGAATGTTCCGAAACCGACTGGAAGGTGACTCGGTCAAGTGATTGGTTTCCAGTCTGAACGATCCAACCGATCTGACCGATATCATCAAATATTATATTTTAATATTTATTTCCTAACATGTCATTTGTCTTTCTCTTTTTTTTTTCTCCTTTGTTTTTTTCACTCTCTTCTTTTCGTTATCTCTTTCTTCTTTATTATATATTTTCAAAATGTCACTTCATTCTTCTCTTTCTTCTTCTCACCCGTCACCTCATCTTTCTTTTTCTTCTTTTTCTTTTTTTTTTTTTTTTACCCTCTCTCTGGCCGTCTCTTCTCTTTCTTCTTTACTTCTTCCATATTCTTCTCTTTTCTCACCCCCTCTTCTCTTTCTTCTTCTCTTTTCTCACCTCCTCTTCTCTTTTCTTCTTCGGCATCTTTTGAAGACTTGAAGGCTGAAAGCTAAAGCTTGAAAGAGATCGCGAATGAAGGACTAGACTGGAGCCTGAAGAAGTTGATTGAAGAGGAGGAGATCGCGATGATTGAAGAGGACTTGAAGAGTGAAGACTTGAAGGAGATCCGAGATCGCGAACGGAGGACTGGACTGGAGATCGCGAATGGCAAATAGCAAACCAAAAAAAAAAAAAAAAGCTAAACCAAAATGAAAAAGGCAAAAGCAAAAAGCAAAATTTTAAAAGTGGCAGACATCTCGCAAGAGCAAATGGAAATGTTAAAATTTGGGGGTTTGACACATTGATTTGTGTCTGTGATTTTTAATTTTTTTTAATTTTTTTCATATTTTTAAGTAGCGGATTGATGTGGACCGGATTTCTTTATTATATCGGTTGGACCGTTGGTTTGCTACAGTAATACGGTCTAACCACGGTTTGAAACGGTCTGATTCAAAAATCTGGGTTTCCACTCTTTTCAAACGGGAAATATAAATGAAATCCAATTAGATCGGTTCGACCATCTGATCCGGTTCGAGTCTCAGAATATTGTTACAAAGATTCAAATTTGCTGATATAATTAATAAGTATTATATGATTTGGCCTCTTTTTGGGGTTTTTACACTAAGTTTTGGCTTATTAAGTTGTATGAATTTTTATTTTTCACTTCTGATTCTTTTAGATATTAACGTCTTTCTTTTTCATCGGTGGATGTAAGCTATAAGTTAAATCATATTAAAATTGTAGTATCCTTTTTTTATTTTTTTTCCTTTTGTGATTGATGATTTAATTCACATGCCATTAATCTAAGCAACTACAGTGCAATCTGGGTCAATTTTTTTTAAAAAAATCATAGTCCATTTTTTAAAAATCAATACAAAAGTTGCAGAAGCAATTATTGTATGAAATCGTGGCCCTATATCTGTGATTCAGTGATTGATATGGGAAGTTGCAGAAGCAATTAATGCCAATGGAAGAAAGTGAAATAAATGTGTAAAGACAAGTCAGCTCCAACTAGTGATGACTCAAGGACTAATGGCGCCGACATGACAGCTGATAGTAAGGGCATCTCCAACCCACTCCAAACGCCACGCCAAATCGGCTTGGATCGATTACGATGCATCTGAAAATTTGTTAAATGTCACCATCTCTCACATTCTTTCAAACCAAGATTGCCCTCTTGTTCTGTCACTAGATCTTTCAAATCTTCATAAGTTCAGTATATTGGCTTCTCTTCTGCAACAGGTATGTACTAGTTCTCATATTGTAGCTGGAGTTTTAAAATCAATGGACAAGCTGAGCTCTTGATCTCTCTTTGCTTCTTCAATTCGGACAAGAAAAGCGACAGGTTTGACGATTTGCATTTGAATATTGAATAGTATGTACTCTACTAATCAACATATGCTGAAATATGAAGTACCAACTGTGAAGTGGAACTCTTTATTCGTTTTTTGCCTTTGCTTTAGGCCACCAGTGAAATTTCTTTGCTCCGCCACCGCAACTGCTTGGTTTCCTCAAAAAAAAAAAAAAAAAAAAAAAAATATATATATATATCAATATATATCATAAGCATATTACAAAAAGTATATCTTTTACTGTGTGTTCACTTGAAAAACAACAACCTAAATCAAATTAAAAGTCCTCGTAAGGATTTTGTTTGTTTGTTGAGTTTTATTCGTCAGACTCTACCTCTTGTTTAGTGTTTTTAGTCAAAATACTAGTCTTCAGTTTAGCATGGACTATTATTAATATTCAACAGAATTTTTTTGAGATTTATTATTAATTATTTTATTATATTTGGAAAAAGGATATTCGTCTGTTGAAATGGAGGGTTTTCCTCATGAATTCCTCAATCC